GAAACATCAATGATGAGAGAGGATCACTGATCAGCTGCCTCCTGCACGCTCCCTTACTGGGAATTGAGCCTGAAACCTGCTCTCTAGGCATGTGCTCTGACTATGAATCAAACCGTGACCTCCTGGTTCATAGGTCAATGCTCAACCACTGAGCCACACCAGCTGGGCCAAAGCTCCCCTCTGAACCACTTAGATTAACCCAGAGGTGAGAGTAGCAGGTTATCGGGAGACCCACAAGTAGTTTATTTTGGTTGGAATGTAGTGTGTGAAGGGAAAGGTGCTACAACAAGAGGTTAGCAAGATGTGGCACATCCTGCCGCCATGTCACTGCTCGAAGGCAGCAAGGGAGGTCAAGCCAGGGCTAGTTCAGTGGCTTCAGCAAGAAATGGTGGTGCCATCGGATGGGAAGATATAGCAAGAGTAAAGGACAATGGTAGGACTCCTGGGTTATTGAGGAAGAGCGGACAGGACCTAAGGATTGGTTAGTCATAAGGGACTAGAGGGAAAGAGAGAGGGGAGTCAAGAATGACTCAGGTTTCTGGCAGGAGCAGCCAGATGGATGGCAACAACCCCATTTCCCCGCCTGATTTGCTATGCGTCCTTGGGGAGCTCACCCAGGCTCTCCAGATATCTGTCTTCTCAGCTCTAAAGAGGATGGTGAAATCTGACCTTCCCGTGTATCCAGATGGTGTCAGATAAGATGAAGTCATCCATAGGGAAGTGCTTTGGAAAGTCAGAAGTGCTTTGCAAATGGAAGTGGTTGTTATTTTGTGGGTATTGTTGAGGTCCTCCCTCTCCTGGGGCTCGGAGCCGGAGCCAGACGGGGAGGCAGCCCAGGGGAGCCGCCGGCTCGCTCAGGGGAGCCGCTGTGTTTGCCATCAGGCGGCTCTGCTCTGGCAGGTGGGAACCACATTCCCGCGAACTAAATTGTTAAGAGCTTCCCCGGGGAGGTCGTCTCTGCGTCTGTGATTGCTGTTTCTCCACTGCTGACACCTGCTGATGCCCCCAGTTGGCTCGGGATTTCCTATGTTTGTGTTTCCTCCTGAGGTCAAGATCAGGATCCCTTGGACTAGAAGTCCAAGACCAGGGTGCCAGGGTGAGGGCTCGCTTCTGGGTTGCAGACGGCTGGCTTCTTGTGTCTAGAGCAGAGACGGCAAGCATCTGTTGTCTCACCAGATTCTCACCCATTCTGCGCCCCTCTGCCTTACAGAAGAGAAAAGCAAGGCTCAGAGACGTGAAGGGAATCTTAGAAAGGGCCATCTATAATTCCGTATCTGTGTTTTTTGTGGAGCAATTTTGATATTCTGTTCATGTACTTGGTCATTTACATATCTTTCACAGCTTCTCTTGTTTTTTATTTTTATTTAATATATTTTATTGATTTTGTGCAGAGAGGAAGGGAGAGAGATAGAGAGTTAGAAACATCGATGAGAGAGTCATCGATCAGCTGCCTCTTGCACACCCCCCACTGGGGATGTGCCCACAACCAAGGTACATGCCCTTGACCGGAATCGAACCTGGGACCTTTCAGTCCCCAAGCCGACGCTCTATCCACTGAGCCAAACCGGTCTCGGCTGTTTGTTTGTTTTTGTTAATCCTCACCCAAGGGTACTTTCCCATTGATTTTTAGGGAGAGTGGGAGAGAGAGGGAAAAAGAGAGAGAAATGTCCATGTGAGAGAAACACACAGACTGGCTGCCTCCTGCAGGGGCCCCAACCAGGGCCAGGGCTGAGGAGAAGCCTGCAACCAGGCACGTGTCGTCGATCAGAATCGGATCCAGGGCCCTTTGGTCCGCAGGCCATCGCTCTACCCACTGAGCCAAACCGGCCAGGGCTCTGTCACAGCTTCTTGATTTTAGCTTGTTTAAGAGAGCAATGGTCTTACTCACTCACATGTCCCTGCAGTCTCTCTCAGTTGGCAGAGCATCGGTTGTTTCACCAGATTCTCACCCATTCTGCGCCTCTCTGCCTTACAGAAGAGAAAAGCAAGGCTCAGAGTCGTGAAGGGAATCTTTTTCTGTCTTCTGCCTCCACTGTAGCTATGGGCTTCCACCACAGCATCTCTGCATCCAGGAGGGACTCAAAGAAACATTGTGAAATGCAATTCAAAAAAATTCCTTTCAGCCAGAGTGACTGGAGCATGCCAGTGGGGTGGGAGCAGGGGATGGAGTCGCAAGAGGACGGCGATAAACCCCGGTTGGGACCACACTGGGAGGGACCAAATGCAAGGCCAGGGAGGGAGGGTAGGCTTGCTTGGTGATAGCCAAAAGCCAAGGACGGGCATGGAGCTGGTATCTGGTATTTCAGATGTGATTGCCGAGTTTATGCAAAGGATTTTAGTTGCTTAGAATTCCTAGGCCTGCGTTAAGCTGTTTGCTCAGTCTCCCTCATCAAAATGAGAGCTCACCAAAGCTGGAGTTGAACTACCTATTCACTCACTCTCTGAGCTCCAGGAACTGTACTGAGGTGGGGGTACGGGAGGGCACTAGACTATTGTAAGGTGAAGCACAAAAATCCAATGAGCGCATAAGTATATGTAAGACATTCTGTAAAGAAGAGGGACATCGCCCTAACCGGTTTGGCTCAGTGGATAGAGCGTCGGCCTGGGGACTCAAGGGTCCTGGGTTCGATTCCGGTCAAGGGGCATGTACCTTGGTGGTAGGCACATCCCCAGTAGGGAGTGTGCAGGAGGCAGCTGATCGATATTTCTCTCTCATCATGTTTCTAACTTTCTATCCTTCTCCCTTCCTCTCTGTAAAAAAAAAAAAAAAAAAAAAAAAAAAAAAAAAAAAAAAAAGTCAATAAAATATGTAAAAAAAAGAAAAAAAAAAAGAAGAGGTACATGATGCTATGGGAACAAACAACATGGTGAGCCCTAGCCGGTGTGGCTCAGTGGCTAGAGCTTAGACTTGCGGACTGAAGAGTCCCAGGTTTGATTCCGGTCAAGGACATATGCCCGGGTTGCAGGCTTGATCCCAGTAGGGGGCATGCCGAAAGCAGCCCATCAGTGATTCTGTCTCATTATTGAATTTTCTATCTCTCTCTCCCTCTCTCTTCCCCTCTGAAATCAATGAAAATATATTAAAAACAAAAATAGAAACAAGGGTACCTGGTCCAGGTGGTGGGCTGGGGGCAGTGAAGTGATAGTTAAGCCGAAGCTGGAAGGATGGGTAGCAGTCAGCCTGGGGGACTGACAGCCGTCCGGGTGGGAGAAATAGAGAGTGCAATATCCTGAGGTAGGAAAACGTTTGGCTTGTTGGAAGGACAGGGAGGGGCCAGAACTCCAATAAAGGAGCTCTCCTCTTTCCTGTCCCAATTTCTCCCCTTTTACCCCCAGAAAAGCCTCTGAGTGTCAGGCTCTTTGGGACAGGGGAGAGAGCTTTGGCAACACATGTGACCGCAGAGCGAAAATCCCTTCTCCGGTGAGTCCTCAGATGGTTAGGTGGGAAGCCTGGGGTGAGGAGTCTCCTGTGGCTGATTGGGGGGCGTGGGCAGCAGCGGGGAGGGGCAGAGCGTGGAGAGGAGGGGGCACTTGAGAGTTCCGGCTTTGCTCTTCCTGGGAAAGGGTAAGAGCCTCCCACACAGATGGATAGCTCAAGCCGGAGAGTGATATGGGTGAGGGGTCCTGGCTCTCAGAGTCAAGAGTATCACCCCGAAGCCTCAGGAACCCCAGTGTGGTCCCATTCCACCTCCTTGGGGCCTTTATTCCTCTAACCAGTGTTTCCTGAGCACCCACTGTGACCCGAGAGATCAATCAAGCCTGATTCCCCCGGGGGGAAACAGAGCAGGTAGAAACAATTGCTATATGGGATAGTTTAGTGCCCGGCTTAGTCTTCCCACCTGTAAAATGGGTTGATGCATGGATAAAGTGCTAGGAACAGAGTAATGGTTGGCAGAAAAAATGTTCTGGGAGGGACAGGAGCCCCAAGGAGGGTGGTTCTGGGCCGGGGCAGGTCAGGTTAGGGAAGGAATATGAGAAATGCCCCCCATTCCCGTGGCGTTTCAGACCTTCCCACCACCTCACCCCATCCTCTCCACACTGGCTCCCTTCCCTTCTCTTCCCCTGGCCTCCTCTGAGCCCTCTGACCACAGGGTCTGCGCACACGTGGTCCCCAAACGTCACATCTCATCTCCGGCGTCCCTTTGTCCGGAAGTTGTCCTGGCCTCTGTTTTGTGGGCCCTCCCCCAGGAGAGTCCTGCTGACCTCCACGTTCCTCCCTCTGTAACTGCATCCTCATCGGTGTGGTTTTAGGGTTGGTGTCTCTTCTTCCTGGACGGTGAGCCCCAGAAGGCAGGAGCACATCAGCTGTCCCCAGTATTACCTGGCTCTTAGACACCCCACTCCCCACCCCCAGTCCGCTGAGCGAATGAATGGGGAATGAATGGGGAACAAGAAACCACGGATACCAATGGTTAGCTACGGAGCACTGACTGTGTGCCATGCACTGAGCTAAGCTCTTCATTCATCTCTGAGCCCAGAGGTGTGATCACCCTCGTTGCACCGGGGAGGGTCATGGAGCTGAGAGGGTAAGGGACTCGCTCAAGGTCACCGTTCCTGAGTGCAGGGTAAGAGGCGGATTCACCTCCGGGTCCTTCTGACCCCAAAGCAGCCAAGGTGTGTGCGGGGCTGGGCGGGGAGGGGTGTCCCGGCTGGGGTCGCGGACACCCGAGCCCCAGGGGCCTCCGTGGGAGGGAGTGGGCGCTCCCCGGCCCGGCGCCCAGCGGTGTGAGCGCCCGCCCCCGGCCGCCTCCGGGCCACGTGGTGCGCGGCGGGCGCGTCCGGGGAGCCGGCGGCCCCAGTCGAGAGGCTCGGGGCGCGGAGAGCGGCGGGCGGGCTCCCGGGCAGCGGCGCGGCGGGCGGAGGCGGCGCGGAGGCAGCGGGGCGGCCGGGGCGCTTAGCAGGCGGCGTCGGGGCCTCGGCCTCAGCCCTCGGCGCGCTCGGAGCTCCGGGCGCTGCGCCCAGGGCGCACGGCGGGGAGAGCGCGGCGCCGGCCGCCCGCCATGGAGCCGGCCCCCGCCGCCGCCGCCGCCGCCGGGCTGCAGCCCCCGCTCATCGCCACGGCCCCGGACGCCTTCCCCGGCGGCTTCCCCACCGCCTTCCCCGGCGCCCTCCCCAGCGCGGCCGCCAACGCGTCCGGGCCGCCCGGCGGCCGCAGCGCCTCGTCCCTCGCGCTGGCCATCGCCATCACCGCGCTGTACTCGGCCGTGTGCGCCGTGGGGCTGCTGGGCAACCTGCTCGTCATGTTCGGCATCGTCCGGTGAGTCCGCTGGGCTGGGTCCTTTTCTGTGCGGGGCGCATGGGACCGCGCGCTGAGACCACTTTCCCCGGGAGAGGACGCTGGGTTTGTGTCTCCGTGTGCGTGTGTGGTGTGGTGTGGTGTGGTGTGTGTGTGTGTGTGTGTGTGTGTGTGTGTGTGTAACTAATGGCTGGGGATCATCTGTTGGCATTTCTTTCCGCACCAGGCACCGTGGGACAGTTTGGGGACAGTTGGTGCACCTGCCACTTTGGAGCGGGTGATTCTGTGTCTGTGGCTGTGCACAGGCACTGTGTGTTTGGACTTCTGAGCCCCATGGGGTGGGCAGAGTGTGTGAAGCGCCATGGAACTCTGGGGAGACGGCTGTGTAAGGCTGTCTGTGCAGGTGGAGGAAGGGGGGGGGGCGGGCAAGAGAGTGTTTGCAAGGTGCCATGGGCGCTTACCAAACCACATTTGGGGATTTATCATCTGCCGGGTCCCTGTGTTGGTGTGTGCTGCCCCACACGGTCAGTTTGTGATTCTCTGTGTATGGTAACAGGACAGTGTGCTGCTTCTTGTCAGATCCTTGGAACAGAGGGAGGGGCATCCAACGTGTCCTTAGACACCTGTGTGTGTGTGCATTTGCCAGTGGAGAGCCCATGGTTCCTGTGGGCCAGCCAGTCAGTTCTTGTTATTATTATTATTTAGTCTATTTATATTGGTTTCAGAGAGGAAGGGAGAGAGAGAGAGAGAAACATCAATGATGAAAATCACTGATTGGCTGCCTCCTGCAGGCCCTCCCCCCACTGGCTAGGAATCAAACCCTGATCTCCTGGTTCATAGGTCCAAGCTCAACCACTGAGCCACACTGTCCAGGCCAGTCAGTCCTTTGCTCTTATCTCCTGTGGTCATCTGGTCGGGAGCTCTGGGTGTGATTTTGAGAGGCCTCAGATCCTCTTCACAAATGCCCTTCCCATTTTCCCTCCTCCCTTCTTCTATTTTTTTTTATTTTATATTCCATTGATTTGTCCTGTCAGTATAATTTATTTAGCAAGTTCTAATTTATTCATTCAGTTTGCTCTTCCCCTCCTCTCCCTAAGAGTCTCTTCCTGCCAAAGGCAGCAGCGGTGTGTCTGGCCGGAGTTTGTGCTTTCCCATCGGGCAGTGAGGCTCTCTTCTTGGAAGCCATGAACCTCTCCTCACGTCTAAAACCCCCCTGGCTTGTCCCAGCCGCGACCCCCAAACCAGCTCTACTAGTTCCCAGCCAGCAAAAGCATGGAGAGGCAACCCCTGTTCTTGTGACAACAAAAATGCCCTGGCATTGACCGTTAGTTGAAAACCAGTCCTCGTGCTGGTTGACCGGGGGCACAGCCCTAAACCTCTCTGGGCTGTGGTGCCGCCAGGCAAGGCGGAGGGAGATGGCGGACCCAGAAGCTGGAGGTGTGATCTGTGGTATCGGCCCAGTCACGGACGCCCATCCGAGTGGGAACAACCATTCCCCCAGCCCAGGGGTCGGCCAACTCATTCGTCCACAGAGTCAAATAGCAACAGGACAACGACTGAAATTTCTTTTGAGAGCCGCATTTTTTAAACTTAAACTTCTTTGAAAGCCACCACTTCAAAATAGACTTGCCCAGGCCGTGGAATTTTGTGGAAGAGCCACACTCAAAGGGGCCAATGAGCCGCCGTTTGCCGACCACGGCCCCAGCCCAACCTCCCGCCTGCCTCAGTTTCCCTGTCCTAAGGATAGAGACCCAGTCTCCTCGGCTGGGAAGGATGGGTTTCTAAAGGGCAGAGCGCAGGGCGCTGGAGTGCGGCGTTGGGCGCGGTGTGTGGGTGTGCAGGGGCCCTGGCATCCATGAGCTCGGGGTGGGGGGTCGTTGCTCCCCCAGGAAGAGTGGAAGACACAGACTCTCCTGTGTTTTCAGTGACTCATCACCAGCTACAGTGGGCAGAGCCCCGACTCAGGCAGCGCGGATCTCTGCTTTGTGTGTGTGTCAGTGATTCTCTCCACTTTGCTTTCCTGAACCGGCTCTGGGGCGTGGGTGAGTCGCCTCGTGCCTTTGATCCCCACTTTCTTCATCGGTAGCATGAGAAGTAACGGGACCTTCTTCAACAGGGATTTTGTGAGGTGTGGACGAGAGAGCATATGTAATGTAGCTGGCCTGGTGCCTGGGCCCAATACATGGAAGCTGAAGAAGGGGAATGTTCCAGATCCTTGAGAATCTAGTGCCTGTTAAAGAGGGGAGAGTGAGGGAGGCATTTGTCCTAAGATGGGGCTGGGAGTAGCCACTGTTCTGGGGGTTCCGGGTTCCTGGCACACACTCTCTCTTGGGGAGCCCATGGTGCTCTCGTCCGAAGGAAGCTGAGTGCCAGTGTGTGCGGTCCCACTTCCAGCCCCTTCTCCGGGGCCTCTGGCTGGTGGGCTGGTGAGCATAGCACCCCGCTACCACCCAGCGGGGGGAAGGCCTCACGTCTGAGGGCCCACTTGGGGGGGGGGGGGCCCTCGGGCTCAGCCTGCTGAAAGTGTCCCCAGCCAGCCTTCCTTAAACCACGTCATCAAATGCATCTTCTGCCCTGGCTGGTGTGGCTCAGTGGATAGAGTGTCAGCCTGCGGACTGAAGGGTCCAGGCTTTGATTCCAGTCAAGGGCACACACCTGGTCTACGTGCTTGATCCCCACTGGGGAGCTTAAAGGAGGCGGCTGATCCATGATTCTCTCATCATTGGTGTTTCTACCTCTCTCTCCCTCTCCCTTCCTCTCTGAAATCAATCAAAACATATTTTTTTAAAAATGCATCTTGCCAGCAGTGTAGCTAGCCCCCAGAGATCCCCACTTTGCAAGCCCATGGCCAACCGTGTGATGATAACTGTATATCTGGGTCTGAATGAGTTAATCCTCACCTACCTCCCTGACTGGTAAGCACTGGCATCCTTATCATCATCCTGTTTCACAGATGAGGAATCGGTGGTTCAGAGAGAGGCAGGGTGACTTTCTCTCCTAAGGGCCCGCAGCTAGCCTAGACCCGGAGCTGGAACCCTGGTCATGTGACTCCGTGTCCAGAGGTTTCCCCAGAATTGTCTGGGATGGGCGACAACCAAAGGAATGCACGGGAGCAGGGGGCAGAATCTCTCTCCTTTTTAAAAAAAAAATATTTTATTGATATTTACAGAGAGGAAGGGAGAGAGAGAGTTAGAAACATTGATGAGAGAGAAATATCCATCAGCTGCCTCCTGCATGCCTCCTACTGGGGATGTGCCCGCAACCAAGGTACATGCCCTTGATCGGAATCGAACTCGGGACCCTTCAGTCTGCAGGCCGACGCTCTATCCACAGAGCCGAACCGGTTTCGGCTGAATCTTGTCCTCCTCTGGTTCTAGAATCCTCAGAGAATGAGGGGGCCAAATGGACTGTGAGCCCACCCACCCATGCTGTTCGGCCCATGCATGTTAGGCTGCTGTCCTTGGGGGAGGGGCAATGAAGGAGCATCCTATTAGTCTGTCCCCACCGAGTGGGAGTCTAGGGACAGGGTGGCTGCCTGGGGCTTGGCTTCTGCTGGTCAAGTCCCAAGAGCAGCGAGGAGAGGGGAGCCCAGGACGGAGAAAAGCCCCTGCGCTAGCTGACTCTCCACATAGGGCCTGGCACAGCCAATAAGTGAGTCGGTTGATGGGTTGAATGAATGAATGAGTGAATGAACGAATGAATGAATTCTGCTTGTCACTTTTGAGCTCAGGCGTTTTGGAGTGCAGGGGGAAGGTTTGCAAGGGAAGACCCCAAGACCCCTTGGGGCAGGAGAGCAGGGTGGTGTAGCGGCAGAGCTGGGCCCCGAAGCCGGACATAACTAAGTTCAAATCCCGAGTCCACAGCCACATACTGGCTGTCTCTGGGGCTTGTGACTGTACCCCTGAAGCTCATGTCTTTGCCTGTAAAGCGGGAATACCATGAGTCCTGGATTGTGAGGATTAAGTGAGATAATGTGTTGTCTCGGAGCCTTCCAAGCCCCTTGAGAACAGGAGGGTCTGTGTGATGGACTGAAAAGAACTAATGAATTCAGGAGAGTTCTGTGGATGCACGGTGCTGGATGCTGAGATGAGGAAATGGGGAGGGAAGAATACCCAGCCCGGCCCTATGGAGCGTAGGGTCCCGGGAGAGAAATAGATGTTTGTTGGTTATCCAACAAGCTCACATCTGTCGCTGCTGGGGCTTGAGGGGCCCACGGTGTGGGGAGGGTCTCACCTGGGCAGGGAACTCAGAGAAGGCCTCTGAGATGCTGAAGGATGACGGAGGGGTAGCTAAGTAAGAAGCTGATTGAGGCCGAAGCTGGTTTGGCTCAGTGGATAGAGCATCAGTCTGTGGCCTGAAGGGTCCCAGGTTCGATTCCAGTCAAGGGCATGTGCTTCGGTTGCGGGCACATCCCCAGTGGGGGGTGTGCAGGAGGCAGCTGATCGATGTTTCTAGCTCTCTCTTTCCCTTCCTCTCTGTAAAAAAATCAATAAAATTTATTAAAAAAAAAAAAAAAAAAAAGCTGAGGGAGGCCCGGCTGGTGTGGTTCAGTGGTTGAGCATCGGCTTATGAACCAGGAGGTCATGGTTAGATTCCAGTCAGGGCACATGTAGGGGGTGTGTAGGAGGCAGCTGGTCCACGTTTCTCTCCCTCTCCCTTCCTCTCTCTGAAATCAATAAAAACATATATATTTAAGAAGCTGAGGGAGGAGCCTCTGATGGGAAGACTGACACAGATGAGGGGCTGGGAAAACAGAGCACTGGGATCTCAGAATCGGACATCACGAAGCGTTCTCCATCCTTCCCCCGTACCTGCTGGCCTCTCCCCACCTCCTGGGCATGCCTGAGAGGGCCTGCGGGGTGCGGAGGGGCCCCCTGCGGGGTGCGGAGGGGCCCCCTGCGGGGTGCGGAGGGGCCCGCGGGAATCACGCTGTTAGCAAACAGCCTGTGGAACAGGAGCAGCCACGCCCCAGGCAGCCACCCGTCCTTAGGCTCCGCTCCGTGGGGACAGACACCTGGGAC